CCTTGGGGTCGCTGCTGACTAACGGGGAGCCGCAAGACGGTTCGCTCTCCGTCCGCATTCGGCAGTTGATGATCCCGTTCCTGAAAAAGACAAAAGGGCCGTTGGTAAGTCTGAGCTGTTCAAGTCAAATCATGGAAAATGTTTAGATTAGACAGTCCAACGAAAACCAAAAACATTTTCTAAAGTCAATCTTTCTTGGCCTAAAACTTTTTGTAAGACCGACACCTCGTGGTTTGCTGCAGGGCCCATTGTTCATCTTCTATGGTCCTGTGGAGCCCACCTGAATCCTAGGCTTAGGTTTCACATGAGACCTTGACTTCTGCCCCGGTCAAGGTTAAGTTCCACCCACTCTCTGTATTAAGCTCCACCCCTGCCAATTAACTGGCCAATAACAGAGCTTCAGCACACAGTAGAGGTTCTGATTTTGACAGGTATTGGCAGAGGGTTGGGGACTTAGCACCTGGAAGGAGTGAGGCTTAGCACTGACTTGGGTAGAAGTCAAGGCCCCTAGTACAACCTAGGATCATACGGGACCCAGAGGAGCAAGGATAGATTTGAAGACTAAGACGTGTACCTGGAGGCCCAACAAGGTCCGTGAAAGGGTCCGAGAAAAGGTTTAGGCCAGGACTGGTTCTATTTAAACCTGAAGACCCCACACCCAGCGATGGGGGGAGGGCCTCATGTAGGCTGCAATATGCAACATCCAGAGCTCCAGCACATCATCTGATATACACTACAGGCAGTCATTCAGGAAATGAGACAATAATATACGCAGTGTGCGGCCCTGAAAGGGGTTAAATCCTGGCAGGACATTATCCCTGTACATAGATTTATAGTCTCGGAGCCACACTGAGATTTATGACCCACCACGTGGCGGGGTCAGAGAAATGACTCCCATAATTAACAGGCGATTATTATGTAGAGTGACCTTGGGCCATCCGGGCTCCAGCAAGATGGCCCCGCGTCAACCGAAGCCACTAATAAAACAGCATCACCGGCAGCCAGTGTGATAAAAAAATGGCGGCTCGGTATTAAATCATTCAGGTGTGCAGCAAAATATGTGTATAGCACTTTAATAACAATAAATGCTGCAAAAAAAAACATTGAAACATATATATATAATAAAACTATTTCATGATTTTATTTGTATCACCAATTATTTATTTGTTTCTAAGCTTCAATTTCAGGGTACAATGAGACGATAAATTGCGCAAAACTGAAAATTGAAGTGTTCAAAAACACCCCCAAATTTTACCTTTTGCGCAATTTATTGTCTCATTGTACCCTGAAATTGAAGCTTAGAAACAAATAAATAATTGGTGATACAAATAAAATCGTGAACTGGATGTAACAACACTTTCGACACATTAAAATCGACACATTTCATGACTACAAGAGGCGGAGAATTGTGACTGGAACACGACAGACTCCCCGAGCCAGCGAGACGGATATATTAGACGTATTGAGAAGAAATCCAAATTCTCTTCAACTATTTCCGCGAATGTGTACGGAAATTTAGAGCTGGCGGGTTTCATTTAAAGCAGACCCGCAAGTTAAAATGAGAGTTCGACTCGCCGCTGCCGAATCACATGGTGACTTTCTGTAAGAAGTGATTGCTCCTCTTTAAGTAAAATTATTATTTAAATTTTATTTTAAAAAGTGCCGTCCGAACGCCTCACCTGACCGAACACCTGGGCCAAAAATCCCAACAACAGACAAGATTCAAGTTCCGAGTCATTTTATTCAGTCAGGGGCTGTGCGTCCAACACAGACATTAAGGCCTCCTTCACACTGCCGCGCATATAAGCGCGTACGTGTCTTTTGTACCATATGCAAATAAATGGCTCCGTACACATAGCCGCGTATGGAGCCGTATATTTGCGTAGCGTATATATGCGCAAAAACAGAATGGAACAGAGATGCGTCCGGGCAGCGGATTTCTGCGTACTTTACGCGCATACGCACGTTTGCGCATATATACGCGTACGTGCGTACAGTTCATTAACATTTCCATTAGGAATGATGCATTCTGGGAATGCAAATAGTGCACGCCTATAGGCACATACGCTCGTATATACGCACATATACAATTTTGCTCTTGAGTTGTGTGTGAATGAGGCCTAAAAGGGAAATAAAAAGGTTTATAAGTTGGTGTTTTTAAATTGTTAGTATTTCCGGATAGAATCTGAACATGTGGGGCATCTATGACGTTCATCTTGCAAAGCATTCTGGGTTTTTTTTAAAATACGGAAGCCCATCACTGACTGCAGGCTTACTAGCTGCTCGTGTATACTAAGCGCACCTACTCCATAGATCTATGAGTGGATGATGCCAGCTGACCCCCCATCTCTGCTATAAGAGAGGGAAGGGGGTGAGGTCCTGGACTCTGCAATCTGATCTCCCTGCTATTCAGGTCTATTTCCCAGAAGGGCTTCTGCACCTTTCAGAAAGCTTCGAAATTTCATATTTACCCAATTTAAAAAAAGCGATGGAGCGTTGGCCCCTGGGGAGACGAACCCTTTCTACACATTTATAGGAAACCCAAAATGTTACAGTTGTCTCCAGAACAGGAAGTGGGCGGGAATCTTCCAGGAGGATTTCCTCTCACTTCAGAGAGATTTCTTTTGCCTTCCTGGCAGCAAATTAAGGAAAATCCCCTCTACCACGACGGGCTTTAACCTTTTTCTGCTCCTTCCAAAACTCAGATCCACTTTATATGAAACACATGTAGACAACCGCCATGGTGCTCTATGGCTGTGCGCAGAAGTCTATGGAGATAGATACCCTGCTCTGTTCAGGAGCATAGGGCCGAAGCGAAAGACTTCCACTGCTGACAGTTCCCAGCAGGGACGTGCGGTCAGGGGAGGCAGGTGGGGGCGGAGCCCTAGAATTATGGAGGAAAAAGCTGTCAGCTTCATGTCTGAAGCTGACAGCTTTTTCTCCATTCAGAGCAGCTTCTATCAGGTTACAGAGCAGGAAAATCCTCCCCCCTGTGTAACCGGTCACGGAGCCTCAGTGGTGAGGAGCAAGTGAGGGACAGGGAGGCTCCTCCCTTACACTAGCTTGGGGATGGATTGGGGGCGGGGCTTCGTCCGGCGGGGGCAGGGCTTCAGCAG